CTAGAAATCCCTACTTCTCCATTTCACAACTGAGGGAAAATTTCAGGCCACATTACTTTTCTGGCTATTACGACATGCACAGTTGGTATTTTTCCTCTTGGCTGTGGGGACAGATTTGGCCGCTGCAGGCCAATGGCAGCACACAGACAGGAACTGGGGAAGAAGCACGAGCAGAATCTTCTATAAAAAGAGATTATAGCATATCCATAAGGGTTTTCTGTCATAAAACTCACACAACAAAGCCGTTAGCGTGTGAGTCAACAGGAGCTGTGAATATGACAGCTGAAATAAACATGCCACGATCAGCACCCATAGGTGGCAGCGAAAGCTTTAGTACAAACCTCAATTGTTTGCATTAACTGGCAGCTGACAGGTGTAAATTTTCCAAACAAGCTGCCTAAGCAGCTATTTTTGGCCTTGAAATGTAAAAAATAAAATGTGTGCCTTTGAGCATTAAATGCTTACAAGCGTGACTTCATCCCCTCGCTGCCTGTTAATGGCAATAAAGCAGAGATCGTAAAGTACTTTGGCTTTCCGGGAGCAGTGCATTTGCTTATTGTGGAGCAGCAATCAGCATAAAGTAGAGACATATGTCATTTCTGAAGAGGTCAGCTGTTACTACCAAAAACTGCTGCTTAGCGAGTGTAGCAGCACATTTCAGTTCCACATTGGTTTTAAACGGCCGCTTGCTCGAATTCACTGAACATTAAAGGCCTAGCATTCCTTCAAGGAATATGTGTCGCTCACTGATGATTAGGCCAGAGTTTTGTACTAAAATCATCTTAAAGTGCACCTATTGTGCAAAATTCGCTTTTTTCGTGTTTTTAAACTTACTTTTGGGTCTCTACTGCTTAGAGAAGCAGTCCAAACACCAAAATAATGCACCCAGCCGTTTTTTTTAGCTGTAATTACATGTATTTTTAGGTATCTGGAAACATGGTCTTTCTCAAAGCACGTTATTCTGACATCACAATAACTAGGGCTGTGTATTGACAAGAATTTGGCGATACGATACATATGACAGAGGGGTCACGATATGATATATCCCGATATATTGCGATACTATAAGCAAGGCGATATATTGCGATTTTTTTGTCCGAAAATTCTATTAAATAAAAACCTCTTGCAGGGGAAAAAATGAAAAACCAAAATTCATTGTCTCAGAAAATTCTAATATTACATAGACATGCTTTTGATACATTTAGCTGTGTTCTGCTTTGTATGTATTTTATTTGTTTCATATTTCGTCCATGTTTTCAATTATTAGACTAACTTTGCCAATAAATAGTTTGAAAATATATTTTTTGCACCTTTTAGTTTTTAATATTAATTTACAATATGGTCACCCAACACTTAACAATGGCCTCTATCTCAAAAGGTAGAGGAGCCAAGTGGGTGGCTCACTGCTGCCAACTAGTGGTCAGAGGCTGAACTACAACATAAAAATAATGGCTGGCAGGAAAGTTGACATTTTAAACCTTAATAAAAAAATCGATACAGGGCTTTAGAATATCGATACAGTATCGGGAAATGAAATATCGCGATATTTCAGTGTATCGACATTTTCTTACACCCCTAACAATAACAGTCACCTAGCAATCTAAACCAGAGTCCTGCTCCTCAGGAGGCAACTCGGTGAAGCTCCGCCCACTTCCTCATACAGCACGTTCTGGAGAGATCTGAAGAAGAGGCGGAACTGAAAATGCGAAATTTCATTATTTGAGATTCTTTTTGTGAATTAAATCAATTGAACATGTTTTGTATAGCCCAACAGATGTATCCTAACTTGTGCTAAGACCCCCATAATAGGCCGACTTTAAGACGAAATAAGAAAAAAGTTATACACACAGTTGCATGCCATCCCAAAGCAATGCATCACAAGAAAACCACCACCCAGAGCTAATTCGATTCCCTGTGTCTTTCAGGGACTCCCACAAAAAAGCACCACGCAGAATAAAATATCCATTTCCTCTCCCGGAAAACTTTAATGTGACTATCACTGTAACTCTGATGTTCAGCAGCTGTTATTGTTTGGAAATGTTCCCTGCTCACGTCCTTTGAAATATGACTGAATACATCTCATCAAATTTGTAAGTTGACACGGGCTAACATAATCTGATAACTGTGCAGTGTGTTGGATGGAATTTCTAAAAGGCTACAAGAGCTTGCCAGCTATTATCCAGCTGTATTGTGCTGCTGGAGGATGACATTTACTGCGGTTTGGGTTGTGCTAAATAAGAACAATGTCAAGACGTATAAACAGGGTGTGATACTTTTACATGTCAGGCCACGAAATAAACAGTTAGATAATAAATACTGATAGTGGACAAATTTGGTACATGTGTTAAAGKAACTATTCTATCAAATTAGTAAATTTACTACACTTTGTAAACAAAGTATTTTTGGACTTTAACACTGCTGATGAGCTCAAACATGAGTAGTTTCCTGAGATATCAACTCGCTTTCTTGAAAAACACTGAACAATACGTTTTTATGGCAATTACCTGTAAAACTAATAAACAAACAAGAAAGTAAAAAAGATTAAAAAAATATGCATCTGCTGAAGGAATTTCATTAATAACTATCTGAGCATGTAAACCGAATTTCCAGATGACTACAAACAAATCAGTGCAGAACATAAAAWTATACCAAATGAAGCTAAAAGTTACAACGTGAAAAGAGCACAAAAAGTGGAAAATACTAAAGTAGTTGGGAATGCACCAAAATCATCAMGCAGGGGGTCTCTCTGCAGAGACCCCCTTCTCAAAATCAATGAGACAACTCTACAGAGCTCTAGTGTTTTAACGCCATTGCGGTTCCAATTAAGAGATCGTCTCCATTTTCAGCTGTTGGAGTAAAACAGAAAGGTCTAATGTCACGTAAAACTAAGTTACCTCCTAACTTAAGCATGACAGCGTGTCACGCCGTCCAACTTGGCTAACCACCTATCTGGGACGATTCATAAAAACAAACAAAAAAAAAACTATACATTACAAATACCTCGGTTTGGAGGCACAATAACGAGACCGCTCTGTTGTTTCCTATGCGACAGGCTGTTTTAGCCCGCGTGAGCTTCAGGGGAGAAAAGAAGCTAGTTTATCCCTCCTGGAGTGACGCTAGTGCGGCGGCGGCGGCGGGGGCAGCCTTGACCACCAGCCAGCCTGATTCTGTTCAGTCATGCCACGTCTTACCTGACTGATGATGGCCACCTCTTTTTTTTTTTTTATCTCCTTCTGGAAATTATTTATCTGTTGAAGCGTCTGGAACAAGATGCCCGCGCAGAGGACCCTAGCTAGCCAGCAGCTATTTTTCCCCCACACAAGCCAAACGGCTAGCTTAGCTGATTAAATACCGCCTGTTGGAATAGCATTTCTGCATCCGAACATGTCAGTAGCACCGCCAGGCTAACTGGCTGCAGATTGCTCTCGCGCTCAGTCCCACCCAYGTGCCAAATCCTCCTTCCGGGATTGGCCGAGAGAGGATTTTCTCTGTTTTGATTGGCCGAGGCCACTGTCAGTCAAACACACTGCAGCTGTTGCTGTTCTGCGTTCCTACAAAAAACATCGTTCTGAGTTTGCCTTGTTAGGGTAAAAAATGTCACCACTTAGTATAAAATAAACGTTTACAAAAATGCACTTTATTAGTTTGCTTATTGTACTGCAATGCACTAATGAGAGTTCTTATAATATGATTTGTCCCMAAAAAAATGTGTTGGACAAGAAGCATATATTTTATAGAATTTTGGAAAACAAACTGATCTGCGTAATCTGTACACAGTTACCGACAAAAGTTGCAACATATCAAAACAAAAACCAGTACAAAATAAAACGTTTAGTTTAATAAAACAGCTACCAAACTGGGTTTTCTTTTATTACCCAGGATCACACACCAGGCAGTCACAAMAGACAATATCAGTGGTTCCCAAACTTTTTATCTAATGACCCAAAAAATATCCATGGCAAAAACTTGTGACCCCATATATTACTGGTCTGAGTACACGAACTTTGTTAACCCTAAAAACACAGGCTTTTTGACAACCTAAACAGCTTGTACACAAACACAAATACTTATTTATAATTTTTTGTGTGTTTTGTAATAGTTATAGGGAAAATATTACATTAGCAATTATTTTATTACCCTTTAAATTGATTTCTGGAGATTATCCAAGGTGCTTCATGGTCCCAAGCCCAACTTTGGGAACCAAAGTGCACTGGTTCCAAAACTTTTCAGCCTTTGACCCACAAAATAACAGTAGCAGAGACCTGTGCTCCCAACTATTTTTGGAGGATAAACATTTGTATCAGGTCAACTAAACATGGGCATAGTAACATTTTTTATACTACATTTATCCATTTTAAATACACTAACATTACTCCTTTGCAACAACTAAGGCAAAAATGTAATTAATTCTGAAAATCTTTTCAGGACCCCACCTTGATGTTTCGGGACCCCACTTTGGGTCCCRACCCCAACTTTGGGAAACACTGGCCTATATGATCAGTATATTTACTTTAAATAAACATTAGTTATCCTGTTGTTTTTGATAAAATTATGAAAATGCCTAGTCATCTGCACCATTTACCTCAAACTCTTGCATCCCTGCTCTTACATATATACATTCACATCAAAACGTGATCAGTTGTCACTCACTCACCCCCTCTTCTGATGTATCTAATAAGCATGTCTGTGGTTAAGAGAGTTGCAGAGTAATTTGGAAGGCTTTGCAGCTCGCTGCAGGATGCAGCCTGTTTCCTGCTCAAACAGATGGGCCTTCTCTGCATGTGCTCTGCGTTCTGCACCCAAAACCCCTTCCTCAAGCACGTCCAAAATAGCTGTGTATGATGGAAGGCAAAACTAACTTTGTCTCAGTTTTGTCACACTGTAGATATAAATAAACCTTGACTGGTTTTTTATTTTTATTTTTAGGTGAGTCACAACTTAAAAAATCAAAACAAAAAGTGAGTAGGGCTTATTTTAGTATGAAACAAACATCTCTTGTGGATTGTGCACCATTTTTTTTTATTAATTTTCCGTGACATCAGTGGATTATCWTTTCACAGGACAGTTTTTATTTGAGCAACACATCTGCTTTGGGTTTGTTTTTTATGTGCAAGTGTGTTTAACAGTCAGCTGATACAGCGTGTACATATCACACATCAGTAATGAATATTCCCCATAATTACACAGCTTCTGAAGAATAAATAAAAAAGGAACTATAATATGTTACCTGTCAAACTGTTCCCAATGAGAAAAGAAACATTAGCTGAGATTCTTTTATTTTTACAAGTACACCACTAATTAGCTTCATATTACTGCAGGGTGTCAGAGAAATAAAGTAAACTGTGCCACCTGCAGGGCTGTTGGTGAAGCACGCTTGCTGTGGAGCGCCAGCTTTGAAAAGGCCTCTTTCATCCTTTTTCCCCCACTTCTATTTCCATCATGATTGTGTCTCTATTTCATTCCATTGCTGTTGTTTCGCCTTTGGGCAAAAAAAAAAAAAAAATCTCAGAGACTGTTGGTTTTCCAAAAGAAAAGAGACATCGCCGACTGGTCCGATACAGAAATAAAGTAGATGGATGTGGGTTGTTAAAGGGAGACTTTAATTCAGTACAGTGCACCCGCCTCTGGCTATTAGTTTGACATGCATCTGAAAGTAAACAGAAGCCACATCCAGAGAGGTTAATCACCGCKGTTAAAGATTAAGCAGCTTCCGAGTTCAGAGCTGCAGTTTGAGCACAAAACATTTCACTTTTCACCCATGAAGTTAATCAAACATTTGGATCTATTTCAGAATACTTTATTTACTTTAACTTAACATACAATGGTACACATATTTCGTTTTCTTCTTGGACCCTCTGGGAAATTCTTGCAAGAATTTGTGTTTCGTATCAACACATAAAGCTAAGAAAATTGATGGCAGTTAATTTACTCAATACCGTGTTTATTTTTAGTTGTTGTTTTTTTCTTCTCACTCACAGTATGAATGCTTTCTGGACTGATATTTACAGACTGGCAGTGTGAACAGAGGAAAATACTTGCAGATGTCTTGCTTTTATCCTTTTTTTTTAGCTTGTGAGTTGTGACACAGTTTGACATTAAAGCAGCGCTGTTAGAGGGAAGTTGTCACAATATTACAATTGTCTTTTTTATTTCACACATAAATATTAAGACATAAGTTACACAACTGGCACACTTTTTGACAGCACAGCACCACAAAAAATCATTGGAGATCCAGACATTCTTTAAATTGCACAACCAAGCAACATTGTAAACAGATGGACTGATGTGTTTTCGATTCATTTGATAGGTGAGTCCAGGATCTCTTGATAATCCTGCCGGATTGCCCTGCTCACCCTGTACAGCTTGACTCCGGTTAGCGTGAACACGCTGACCATGATGACCAGGCCGCCGATCACGTCGTACACTGACGGGATCATCCTCAGGACGATGAGCTGCAGAAACATGGAGACAACGATCTCTAGGTGCTGCACGGTGCTAACTAAGGCTGCGTGAAACTTATTCAGAGCATAATAGACTCCGAGGAATGCCACGGTGGAGCAGATACAGATCCCGATTAAATAGCCCCAGGTTTCTCCATCCAAAGGGATGATAGGCTCCTGCATGATAAACATGGTGGAAGCACCCCACACTGTGCCCGTCCACCCAAAGGTAAAGAGTGCCGTCCACATGCTGACGCGCTCCTTGATGGCTCTGTAGACGATCATGGAAAGGGCCGCAGTCAAGCCTGCCATTACTGTCATTGTGTAGCCAAAAGCCTCCTTCCAGAACCCCAGGCTGGACTTCTCCTCGTCCGCTACATTTGGCACCATAACGAGGCACAGACCGAACACGCTGCCCACAACCGTGACCACATCTGTGTAGCTCAGCCTCTCGTCCAGCAGCAGGAACGCCAGTATCGCGCTGAAGACCGTGGTGGAGGCACGCCACATGATGGTGCCGTTGCTGGGGGGTACTATGGCAAAGGACGTGTAGGCGCAAGTGATCGAGATCACGTTGCAGACACCGTAGAAGAAGAGAYGTAATCGGTAGCCTTTGGGGCCAAAGGGGGCCTCGTGGTAGTAGAAGACCACCAGGATGGACAAGACTTGGATCACGGAGCGGATGAAAAGTAGCTCCAGGGAGGGAACCTTTGAGCGGTCCGCTGCTAAACGGGTAATCAGCGACACACAGCCGTGAGCCACGGCTGCACCRAACAAGGCCATCCAGGTCACTCTGGAGGCCAACACATTGGCCTCGCCAAAGCTGGCCAGCTGGCCTTCGACCCCCCTGTCTCTTTGCACACTTGGCTGCTTAGGCGGGGTCTCCATGGTTCCAAAGAAAGTCCTACCCCCTTTCGAGTCAGACACCAGTCTTTTCCCAACATTTGCCTCTGCAAAGGTGCCAAAGTCCTCAAAGGAGGGCGCGTCATCGTAGCCTTCATCGCCAGGCTGGGGGAAGTGAGTGGCATATTTCACTGTCACCGTGTTTGGGTGGATCTTGACCCTCTTTTTTGATCCATACTGAAACGAAGATGAAGATCCATCCATGATTTCAAGATTTGAGAGGGGGTCGCCTGAAAGAAAGAAGAGAAAATATTCAGACTTGAGCGGCAAAAGAGAGGTTTTCCTCCGTTTTGTAAATAGGCTACACATCCCAAGTGAGCTCATTGAAGCCAAGCAGCAAACACTCTGAGGGTGATGCAGTCTGATGGGAATTACATAATGGGAATTCACAGAGAGGCTGATGTGGGCCACTTCAGAGATGAATGGAGTGGTGCACAATAATTAAGCAATCCTTGAATAAATTACAGAGTAAAAAAAGGGGCAACTGATGCTGAAGTGTTTGAATAATGATTTCTCAAACCTTTCACCAGCAGAAGGATTAGAATTGGTGAWTGGTTACAAAACCAACCACCAAATTTTATGATTAATTTTTTTGTTGAACAACCTGAAAGTATTTGGTACATTATGTTCTATCTTTTTTATTATTTCATTTACAACAGCACTCTTTTAAGTATTCAACCCAACATAAACTGGAACCACCAGGGGGCAGATGAATACTCCTGTTTGCCTTCTAGTTGCTCCTCCTTTTTCTTTTTTTAAACTTCAAAATATTACTCAATAAGACAAGACTGGATTTTGTTGAACAGAAATTAAAGCTAAATAAATATCTTCAACGTTAAAATGTTTCATCTTCAGCAAGAAAAAACATCATAATGAAATACAAAATATAGGATTTCTGCTTATAATAAACATCAAGCACCATAAATTATATTTTAATATTTTATCATGGTAAATAAAATCAGTTTATATTTTATCTAACAAGTATTTTTCCAGATTAGACAGTTGTATTAAAACTGGATTTTTGACTGAAACGATAAAAAAAAATGTAATTTACCCGCCTTACCTTGTTATTCTTTAGTTCCTATTGGTGCATGAGTGCAGCTTTGTGTCATAAAAGCAGGTTTTGTCGGATATCTTTATATTTGCTCGTCTGCAACTGCCATCTCTCCATCTTCCTCCCACCTGAAGTGAAGATGGACCTAGATTATTTAATCCCTCACGCCGCCGTCGACGGGCTTTGCCTCTGCTTCTGCAGCTGATGAAGCTGCTGCTGCTGAGGCGGGTGATGGTGATGAGGAGGAGGAGGAGGATGGGGGTGAGGGGGGCGAAGAGGGAAACAACTGTCACTGTCACAGCCAGCGGTTTCCTCTCCTGCCCAGTCCTGCTCCCCACCTATTCACTCCTCCGTCATACCTCGGTGTTTGGGGGGTGGGGGCCGCTCAGACAACCCAGATTAAACCCAACTCTCCTTTTTGTATAAATTATAGAGATTAGAAACAAAACTTGGGGGTGGGGGTGGGAGATGCATTAGGTTTCCCAGCTTCAAGTCGCATGACAAAACAGGATTTAAAGGCATATTAATAGAAAGGATTACATATCAGATTATTTTAAAACATGAAAAGGAAAAAAATTGTATAGGTCTTCTGGACGGGTTCTTCTCTAATGAAACGTTTCGTCTCTCCTCCAAGAGAC